TCCCATACTTTCTCCTAATTACCCTCAAGACAAGATGCACTACCTGCTGCAGCTGGCTCAAGCACCTAAGCACTGATCGACTAGCTAGTATGCACATGCCAATTTGCTAGTTAACAAGCAAAACAGAAGACAACCGTTGAACTCATCTTGCACCTTCTCTCCCTGAGAAGAAAAGGTATGCACGAATTTTCATTTCCTCTCCTCCACCCAGAGGCTGATCTTTGTGGAACTTTAAAGAGCTCTTGAAGAGACTTTGAGATGTCTATCCCATTGCCAAATTTGGCTGAAATCTACTAAAGTTGTTAAAATGGAACTGATAGAGTGATTACACAAGCTTTCTTTCCTTTGGAAAGTAGGCTAAAAACCCATTAACAGTCTTACTTATGTCATCCCTTCGCTCCCATTCTTCATTTAAAAATAACAATTCTATTCTACTGCATTAGCTTATGTAACCCACCCCTGAGCTGAAGTAGTTGAAACTTTTGGTCTGTATTTATTAAGTGTGTGTGCCTCTCTATAGGTCTGTCCATTTTAAGGTGCTTGGTATTACGAAAAATAATGGTGAGAAGATCAGTGAAACAAAATAAGCCTCACTAACGGCTATCCCCCAAAGTTTCTGGACTGGTATCATTGCAAGCAAGATCTGAACTGCTTTTTCTCTAGCAAGCTGTCAGCTGTTCTCATGGTTACAGATCTAGGAATTTGGAATGACAGGTCACAGTTATGAGAATGAGTAGATTTATTTGGCATCTTTCTATCTAGTAAATAACATTCTCCTATAAAGAGGACAAAAGTCTGCTGTACATTATCACGGTGTTTATTCTCTGTGAAAACCACTTTTTAAAGTCTCTGTCCCAACAAAGTGCTAACCAGACTTACATATTTCTTAAAATTGCTCACTCACAGAATGAAGACAAAAATATGTAACTCTTGCACTCTCTCCATTACTATAAATGGACCACCAGTGCTTTCACTGCAAGATTCAACTGTGTATATACACTTCCCAGATGGTGTGAAGCAAGGGTAGAAAAGCACGATTCCCATTTAAATGCAAGGGAAGGCAGGAATGTTAACTGTTGTCATAGGGTAAAATCTATTCTGTCAATTGACTATTTAAAAAATAACCAATAATTTTAAATTAAGTTAACTGCCAAGATTTGTGAAGCTACAGCGTTATGCAAATTACATTAACACAGCTATGCGCAATTGGTTTTCACAGAACCACAAGTTCAGCTAACAGGATAGCAGAAGAACAGGCTTCTCTCACACTTTCAACTCTTCATAGCTGGAGAGGCCTTCCTCCGGGAAAGCCAGGGCAGTCCAGTTTCCAAAGCTTCTGTTAATTACTGCAAAATGAAATGCGGAACTTGTGCTGAGGAACTGGAACACCTACCCACTGAGCTTCTCTCAAAGGTGGGCCTGCCCAGATGCAAGCAGCGTTTTGTCCCTGCTGAGCCAGGCTGGAACTGTACTATAATCATCAGTTACCAGTCCCAAGGTATTCACTCCCCCTAACAGGGACCCTAAGGCTCCAGGGACATGCCCACATACTGCGCTCAATAAGAAACAAAAATTTAACATTGTCATGATGTGCCAATTCACCCAACCCAGAATGCTCTGTGAAACGCTTAACTGAATCACTCATCCTCTTGGAGAACTCTCTGTTCGCCTTGTGAGCTGCCAGGGAGAACTGTCTTCCAAGGGGCACAGTCGGGGACAGCGCTCCCAGGCTTACCATCCCAGGATTTAAGGCCTGATAACTCCAGGGCAGCAAGCCCTGTACGAAGAAGGGCTCCAGAGTTTCCTATCTCTCACACAGGCCTGCACAGGTAGCTTGAGAGCCCACAATATTTCAAAGACCCAACTGGGTCTTGATTTGCAGGTCAATAGTAGAGGCCTCCAGCTGAGAGGCCTGGGAGGGCCTTCTTCAGCTTTGGTCTCAAGTTCCTGGGTCTGTAGATGGAAACCTTGAAGCCCTGATAACAGGAATGTTATCAGAACTTCTGCTCCCGCAGTTGAAGACCTGGGCAAGTTTCCAAGGTCCCTGCTAGGCACTGGGGAATCTAGTAGGCTTGACAATCCAGCAGCCCTCTGAGCGCTGGTCTGAGCTTAGTCATAAGGTACCAAGCTCTAAATTAATTTCTAACATTTCCAAAAAAAAGTCTAAGGAAATTCCAATACAAGGGAAATTTTAAAATGTCACAATTTCCCAGGAATTGGGGAACACCAAGTTTGGCCCACTTCTGATTTCAGTTTCCTTCAGAAAAGTCTCCATCTTTTGTGTTCCACTCTGAGAATGAGCCTTCATCTATTAAAATACATATACTAAAAACAATAAATATGAACAAAATGTGACAATTTACCTCTAAATAGAATCTTCAAAATATAAAACCATTCCTCAGGTTATCCTAAAAATTCTAGTTATTTTCAAATGTACGTGCCCACCTGGAACCCAAAGCCTTCCATTCTAAAACACACTTATTCAACCTGCCTCAAGATTAATTAGTAGAAAGGACACATCCTGTAAAGTTGAACCCACAGAGGTTCAAAGCAGAGACTTCTACTTTGGCATGCTATGTACTCATTGCTTCACTAAAGAAACAGCGTCTGTAAAGACTGGACAGCTGAGTGTAGGGATTGCTAGTATCACAGCATTATCCGGTACTGAAAGACATCAAACACAAGAACAAGCCTGTCCTGGTCACCTCCAGGTATCAGCAAGCCCACAGTGCAGCCACCTGAGATGAAGGGCAGTGTGCCTGACCACAGGGAAAACAGCAGATTCCCGGGATTCGAGCTCTTAGTGGGTAATGCAGCAAGGAAAGGAGGGATGAACCACATGAGCGTGAATTAAGCAGAGAAAAGATTTGCCCCATTTAATTTATTAGGCAGTGTCATAAAGTTGGTGATACTTAGTTCTGCTGGTTTAGAGTCCTAGGTACCAGTCCCAGCTCTGGTTTGCCAACTTGCCACAGAAGTGATAACGAGATAAAGAACATCAGTCAGAATGCAGGCTCTTGGTGGACAGTTTGCCACATCTTCCCATCACTGCAGGTATGGAAAAGTAACTCAGCGATTAAAAACATGAAGTATTTTACCACTTGAGTGAATACTTACTTTACCAATGAGACATTAAAAAATCCTGCAGCCGCACTAAACTTGGGAAACCTGCAAAAACTTTTTCCAAAAACTGAATTCTCATAATACTATTGAAGTTCTCAATTTCCCACGCACCTAAATGAATAGGACATTCTCTCAGAGTTTAAAATACTTGTAATACAGCTATTTTTAGTTTGTCTATAAATCATTGTTAAAGACCTTCTTCTTTACTTTTAAAATTTTCTTCTCTTGTCATTAAAAGGTGACTAAAGCCTTTTCCAATTTTGCAGTGCCTAGAAACTTCATATAATTTAAAAGAAAGTAATACTACTCACATCCACTTATGCTGTATGTTTTAGATACATGCATGTCAAAAAGCACGTATCTAAAGCATACAGTTCTAATGAATAATTTAAGACTCAATATTGCACACAATACCAGTGACTTCAGAGATACAGAAGCAAAACCCCAAAGGCAGCATGGCTTCTTGCCTGAAGAACAGTTTTTGCTTCAGCCTATATTCACAGACAAGTTAACCAGATGTCACGATGCCATCTCAGAGTTCTCCGTATTGCTGAAGTGTTATCACTAAATTCTTGTTCCCTATTAACCACGCATACAGCCCACTGCAATAGCAGGGATATTGAGTCAAATGATCCAATAGCCCTTTTCCACCTTTAATTTCTATTCTCCTGCTACTTTCACAAAATCCCCTCTAGGATAGTATGTATTCTAGAAAAGAAAGCCAAACAGCAATACAGAAGTAATTGTTTCCCACACACACCAGATTCTATATCAGGATCAAAAGTACGGATTAGGTAGTGTTATTATTGATTTCTTAATATGCAATATGACAAAGTACAAACCTTTTTTTTTTTTTTACAAAACCAGGCCACAAGTTGATGCAAACAAAACCAATATTGCGCACAGCATTTTAGCTCCTGTACTATGTGTCCTCTAAAGTAGTAAACCCACAATTACCATGAGAAAAGTCCAGCTGGAGGTATCACCTACAAATTGCATTACTTCCTGCTTATACATTTTTTCAAAACATACGTTCTGCTTGAAAACAATTTAGTGCCAATGAGCTGGCAGTAGAACAACAATTTAAGTTGTGGTCTCAATAAAGGTAGGAGGGGGAATTCACTAAAGCAACATATTTCAGTTACAAAACCCCAAGAAGCATATTATAAGGAGTCAGGCAAATATACATTAAAGATCATGAAAAAGCAACTAACTGTATGCCTTTAAAAGTGCACTTCATGGGTGAAAGCTGCCAAATTACAGAGGGGATTTACTGAGAAGAATGTGTTACTGCCAGAATGGACAAAAGCATGCATTCTACCCATTCCAAGCTCCTCCCCATCTCCTGTCATGCTCACAGCAAGCAGCAGCTCAAAATTGACAACCACAGACTCCAGGATTGGAAGAGACAAAAAATACCTGCTGGTAAATGCCTGGAAAAATTTTATTTTGAAGATCTGATAAAGGAGACTGGAAAAAACAAAAAACAGAGAAACAACCCACTTATGATCAAAAAACATTCCCCCATATTCTTTGGGCATCGAGTACAATTTCACAGCAGAAAGGAAACAGCGTACACCTGGCCGGGTTTTAGAAAAGCCAACGTGCAGCAGCGTTTTCTTAAACAGGCACAGCAACCCGTACACCGTATCGCACTGCTGCTGGCCCCAAGACAGGAGTTTCCCGGAGTTTGTGTGGAGTTGGGTCACAGAAACCTCAATCCAAACGGGAGTGCCTGGTGACCGTGAGGCACCCGGGGGATACCCAGCAGGCCCGCCTGGCCGCCCCCCGGGCCACACCGCCCGCCAGCAGGAGCCGCCGGCCCGGGGAGGGGGGCAGCGCGTCCCGGGCCAACCGCCCCCGCCGCGTCCCCCTACCTGGTTGGTGTCCTCGCCGTGCTCCAGGTGCACGATGCCCTGGCTCCTGCCCTCCGTGTCGCTCAGCACGTCGTCCTCCGAGTCCTCCAGGAGGGACGAGGAGCCGGTGGAGGAGAGCGAGGAGGGGGAAAGCCTGCGG